CTACAACATCTCACAGTCCACACTGTGATTGTAAACTTAATCCTTTGGCCACAAATATGAGAATATGTCTGATCAAACTTTATCCATACATTTCTTTAGCATGTTTATTGTTGTGGTCATGTCACAGACTGGCAAGCAGCCAACAGCACATGTTGAATTTTCATGTGCAAAATGGATCTTTGTATTAAAAACAATGCATATTTGGTCAGTCACTATGGGAACTTGACATTGTGTTTGATACATTTAATGAGTTGGTCGTCATCTAATTGGTTTTATATTAAGTATTCAGCTGAGAAGTTTTTGCTCCTAAAAAATTGGAAATTAACTAACTTGTAGCTGTGAGAGACATGACGAGACTTCTTGCTCGTGTTGGGTTGGTGGAGTTTTACCTCCGTCATTAACGTTGTCCATTTTGTGCTCAAAGCTGGTCACCTTAAAGCTGGATTTCCCACTAAATCTTGAACCTTATACAGTATATATACCCACACTCTTTGAAAATCGGTTGAATCTGATTTTGAGTAGATTTTCTTTTTGTTAATTTGTTTTTCTCTGTTCATTTAGTTTTGCATTTTTGAATGACTCTTCTACTTTCTGCTTTCTTTCTCTTTCAGCTTTGACCCACAGAAGGGCTTTTGGTGCCAGCTTCTTGAGGGTGGAAAGACTAAATGTTTGGGAAAAAGCAAAGGAAGAAAGTACCCTCCCATGGAGCCCGAGGTAAACTTGATTAGTTTGAATTAATGCTGGTTTATCCAGAGAGAAAGATGATTACCCAAATCATAAAGTGATCATGAAACCAATATAAATGTAAGATCCAGTGTTTGACTGACAATATTGAAATAGAACTCAGTTGTCAGGTCCAGTCAGGAAATGACAGGCTAGTTATCAAGGCTCAGGACCTATAATAGAGAGGCTTTGACTGGAAATTCAGTAAGAGGAAACTCTAAGTACAGACCTGCAGGCGAACCATTACACATTCACCCCTTTGTGAAGACGCACTCATAGATACCATCTGTTTCCATGCACGTGCTCACTCATGGCTAATGTCAGCACCTCTGCGGCATCTGTAATTGAAATACATTTTAATCAAAGAGGCAGAGTGAGAAGCCCAAAGAGGAGGACAATAGATTGAAGTGTATTAAGGTGAGGAAAAAGAGGTGGAAACAGAGTTGTTAGCTCTTTACGTCACACAACATTCAGTGGCCCTAAAATGTTGAAAAGAAAACTGACATCAATAATCAATAATCTCTGTTTTTTTTATTTATCAGTCTGTTCTAATTCAATACTTTGTGTCTTTTCTCCTCTTTTCTAAATTTACTACTCTTGTTCCCCTTTCCTACTCCCTCATTTCCCCACCGGTGTGTCTGTCATGCATTTTCCTTCCACTCCCTCCATCTCTGTTGTGCTGATGTTCTTCAGGCACGGGCGTATCTCTCCAGGTACTACAGAGACCACAATGTGGAGCTTTCAAAGCTGCTGCATCGGCTCGGACAGCCTCTTCCCGCTTGGCTAAGAGAGGAGCTACAGAAGGTCAGCAGCATGTCATCTCACCGCCACACATCATATGTCCTGTCATTTAAAGGTTATGCATTCAGTGACTCGATCTCAAATGCAGCAAGGCATCTGAAAAAGAAATAGGCTATGGCAGAACGGGCGATATTCTGGTTTCCTTAGAGAAATCTACTCTCTTTGTCAAGTTTTGGTTTAAATTCTGTTGCGCTTGGGTTACAGTCAGTGGGTTCCTCAAGCTTCTCATTCTTACCACGGGTTAAGTTGAGTAAGCAACAGTTTGACATAATTTTTTTTTCCAAAAGGATTATATTGTTTAAAACAAATTCCATATTATAACTTTCTACTCTTGAGCCAAATAATTCTTTTTCAAACAATTATGCAGTTATACTTAAAAAAAGATTTAAAAAATAATCAGGTAGAGTTGCAGTTATTATTGTTAAGAATTAATTATTTCAAATTATACTAGCTGGATTTGAAATAAAGAAAATAGTCTTTCCAACTTGATCACATCCTGATCCTCTCAAAAGCATCGCTAAACACAGGGGGAAGTCTCACCGTGGTCATGCGTGAAGCCTCGTGAGGACCTAAATTTGGAACACAGGCAGCAGGCAATACACAGAGCTTAAGAATGATTTATGTAAAATCATTTAACTAATAGAGGAAAATCAAAAGGAAAAAAAAGATCAAGTCCAAACACGACATAAGGGGGTAACAATAACAAACATTGTTAAATGAAAACAGAAAAGAAAGAGGCAAATAGTACTGAGGGAGAATGTGAGCCAGATTTTTTGCAATTAGTGAAAGCTATACTGCTGGGTAATATGGACAGGAGGCTAAACTAGTAAACTTACTATCTGCAAAATGAGAAAAATGAACAATGAACAACAAAACAAATTGATTTACAGAAATAATAAGCAGGCCTGCACTAAACCATTACAGCGTAAGGGAAACTTTATAAAAGCTGCCAAAAAAAGGAACAAAGATGAACTCCAAAGAGTGAGATTAATAATATAACGCAGAAACAAATAGCATAGCAAAACCCATGAACCATAACAGCAAAGTCTGCAAAGTCTTTTTCTTCTGTAGGGATAGAAATTATTAATCTTTTTGTTTGTGGAATCGATGAATCATTCAGATGAATCATGGAGAGCTTCTTGACATGTCTGGTTAGATTTTCCAGTCCATTCACTGAATTCAGAGAATGTCCTCTTTCTATTTCCACGGTTGGCATTTTAATCAATACATAAACAGAAGGGAAATTAAATTTCTTTGTCCTGTTTTTTTTCCCCCCTGTCTCTTTTCCCCCTCTCCGACCCCTCCCTCTCCAACACTTTCTGAAGGTTAGATAACCTTTGCGTCCATGAGCCAGGGTTAAATATCAAGACGTCAGGGACCAGGAGCGCCTGTCTTTCGGGCGCAGTGTCTGCAGCCCCGAGGTGAAGATGAGGACGGGATGCCTCGTTTCATCCTGTGAGCTGTAACGCTGCTGAACGGAGCAAAACAGCGCAAGCGAACCATCATGGACGGATGAAAGAATGCTGGATGGATGGATGGTTGCTACGATGACGCGGACAGCTTGAAAGGGAACGGGACACAAACAAAGCGTCACATTCTAACAACAAACTCTTAACGGAGGCACTGAGGTTCTGGTGTGTCCTCCATTGCCCAGCCCGGTTCTGAACTGACGTGCAGATCTGCACCGACTTTAATTGTTACTGACTTTTGTTTTATTTTCTTCTTTAAGTTATGTTGCCAGAGCAGCGCTGGTCAGCTGTGCGTGGTTCCCATAGAAATTACTTTGCACTGTTTTTTGTTTTTTTTAAACTTTCAAGACATTCATCTGTTTTGTGTGTTTTTTTTTACCCAGATTTGAAAGTATCTTTACTTTTTTATTTGATTATTTTTACAAAAAAAATGGTCACATTGGGACGGAATTTCAAAACATAATTCAAGGGTGCATGAACTTTCGCAGAATGACTGGCTGTTCTTGTTTTCTAGATTTTCTTCAAGTCTAAGTATTGCTGGAAGTTCTGGTAGATTTGTATGCCCTTGACACTTTTACTGGAAGGTTTGGAATACAAATGTTTAACTCAAGCAAATAGCCTTGCCCCATCAGACTGTAATTACCCAGGCCAGTAATGCAAAACAACTTTGTATCTGAGACGGCTATCTGAGTTCAAACAAATCGAAAAGATGCAAGTTTATTAAACCAAACAAGATCTGCCTTGTGGATATCATGTTTGATTTTGAGATTATTAAAACTGTTTAGTTGCAGTTTAAGCTGCAGGTAAGTTATGTTTTTTTCTGTGTCTCATTTAAGTCCCAACCTACCTTTTTTACCTTTTTAAATGGTATTTTACTTTGTTTAGCTTCTGTTTAGATGCGAAGAACCCTACATGTCAAACACAAAAACCAAAATTAAAGGACTGGATATGACTGGATTATTTATTTATTTTTATCGATGAACATCCAAAAACTTGTTAGCAACAATTCAGGGTCTCCCTTGCATACCTTAATGAGGTTAAATTTATTCTTCTGGTTGTCTGCAGACTGTTTTACCTCAAAGGTAAGTTAATGTTACACACATGAGACTTATCATGTTTTACAATAATCCAAAAAAAAACTAAAAAATAAGTTTGTTCATCCACTGGACAAGTAAAACAGACATATACAGTATAAAGTACAAAATTCCCTCCATACTATTAATAAAAAGATAATGTACACATTAATAAACAGCATTATTATTCAATAAATGTATTATTCTGAAAAAAGGCCAATTTGGCATTTCTTACTTTTGATACTGTAAACATAATTTGTGGTGGTGTTATTTTTGTTTCATTTCAAGTAAAAGGAAAAATAACTAAAGCTGTTACATGTAGACTGTGGTGCTGTTGAAACTGTTTCCTTTAAAAAACAATAATCACCGTTGGCTAAAGAGCTGACCCTTAACATCGTAGCTGTGAATTTTAATAATTAATACATATTTTTCATTCCAACTTCTCAAGGAAGAGCAGACACATGGCATTAAATTAATAATGTTTTATAACTCGCCAAGATTATAAAATGTCATCATTCTATATAGTTTATTTTTGTTATGTGCACTACTGACCACAGGGTGGCGCCCGAAGGCAGTTTAGCAGTAGAGCTTTTGCAGGCTTAACAGAGCCTGCTTCTTATCGGAGTCATGTTGACTTGCAAGGATATTCACATGCAGTTTTTGCTAATGTTGTGTGCATATGTATCATAAAAGTCAACACCTTTAGATTTATGTGAGTACTGATGGAGAAATGTCAGGGGAAACTAATTGTAAAAGAAAGACATAAAAGAAAAAATAAAGGAGTATATATATATATATATATATATATATATAAAGGCCAAACCTCTCAAACCCTTCATAAACACTCTCAATCTTTTTCATAAATTAAATCAAATCACTTGCAACGTATATCCAAAGCAATATGAGTAAAAAATCTAACAGATTTCTTTGAAGCTTTACTTTATTCTGTATGTTTGCACTTTTAAAAAGATAACATATGCTCTGTTTATTTAGTAGCATTAAGTTGAGTTATTTTTTAAGTTAATAATACAATGAAAACCACTTTGCAGTCTAATTTCTGTCAAGGAAATGACCAGATAGCCTTTGGTTTGTGGGACCAGACCTTCAATTTAAAACAGTGTGTAACAGATAAGTTTAATATTCATGTCAAATTATAACATTTAAAATGTTTTCACATCCATTTGAAGTACATAAAGAATTGAAGTACAATAGCAGTAACAGCTATGCAAAATGCATCTATATTTCCAGGTCTACATAAAGCCGTCATTCAGGTTTTCTCTCTGACAGTTGGTCCAACTTTGTTTGCCATGTAAATTCCTGTCTGCACTGTGCGACATAAGCTGTGCGTAGGTATTTGCTTACACACTTTCTTACATGGGAGTGCTCTGTTTGACAGCTTGTGGTCAGACAAAAAGGGGAAAAAAAAAAAAGTTATGCAGCTCCAGGAGATGGTACCTAATGATATTTGACGAAATGAGAAACAAAATTCCCAATACATACAGTAACCACAAACAATTAATGCCATTATGTATCAAAGATTGTAAGTGTCCTGAATAAAAACAACACAGACTTTGACTTAATACAAATTATTTTTATATATAAGGGAACTTTATAGTTATAACATAACTCAAAACAAACAACAAATGAGAATGAAGTATTGTGTTCCTTAGTCTTCAAGTGTCATTACTTGTTATCAAAAGCATGATAACTCTGAATTACCCGACAATGATCAAGTACTCGAAAATACTGTTTTGTGCTCCAATTAAACTTTTTTCTTTGCAAACATCACTCCACACACTGTGAAGAACTTATATTTGCTATATCAAGTAAAAAAGCCTGAGAATTATTAAGACCTGAAACCTGCTCTCAGCACAAAGTAAAACAAAGGAAATGCTCGTAAACAAGAACGAAATGAGTTTTAGAGACAATGTCACTTCAGCTAATGTCAATATGACTACCATGTCTAACACAGAGGCATTGAATATCATGCAGTAAAAGTACCAAAGAGGGGGTTTTAGTGCAAGTATGCAAATTCAGTCATGCAATTGATTACTCCCAATGCATGAGTGCATGCACCAACTGTCCTCCATGTGTTTGGTCCCTTTTCAATATCGCATTCCATATTATAAATAAAATTTAGATGAAAACAAAAGCAAGCACAGAAAACATTTAAAAAAATATCTATAAAGCAATGTTAAAATAAAAAATAGATAGTTAAGCTATGGATTTTATATACTGTCATATATGCAGCTTCTAAGTGCTGAGGATTTGAGTAAATGCAGAGACTTTCCAAAAAAATGAAATAAAAAGAATTTAGATGATAATTTTTGTCTTTGTCCTTCTAGCCTTTCCGTCTGAAAGCCAGATTAATAGCTGCATCACCTTCTAATCACGTCTTGTTGTGACATCGTATATTTATGACTGAGATACAGTGCTGCATTGGTTGTCATCTGAATCATAGAGTCCCGAGAGTCATTTACTGTCCTTGAGTGGTCAGTTGTTTCAGCTTCAGTCACTGGTCATCGCTTTTTCTCATTACGTCCGATTACTTTGCGTATCCAAGAGCTGAAAGCAGAAACTTTGGTGTAAACACCAGGAGACTGTTGTGTCCTGCAGGCATGACCCCAGGATGTGACCCCGTAAACCACCCAACCCCCCCCTGGACGTTCACACACTAATGGACCTCCACTGTCGCCACGGCAACTGTCCACACGCCTCTCTGGCTGGATGCTGCCGGCGCAGAGCATGCGGCTCGTGAAGGCACTCTGGAAATACTGATGGCAGTGGCGGCGGGGGAGGAGAGACAGAGGGGCTTGCTGCAGGGTCTTCGAGTATGAGCGACCTGAAAAAGCAAGAGTTCAGAAGTTATATGGGAAAGCACCTGTAAGTTTACAGTAAGGTAGCAACAGCTTTGTACCTATATAATGTGCTTTCACAACAACGCCTTATAGGCCCATTTCTGCATTTCTGCATAAATGCAAAGGCCTCAGAGGATGGACTGTAAATCAAACCTGGTATCTAAGTCTAATGCTCAACCAATTTCAGTTTGTGTGTTTTTGTTTGTGTGTGTTTTTTACAGTACAGTACAGTACAGTACAATGAAATGAAGGTCCACTTCAAAGGGAATCCAGTGTTAAGCTTTTGTAAAGGATCCATATGGTATTCTTTGAAAACTGTAAAAACAAGCATGCAAACTCATGATTTTAAGAAATGACAGGAAAGAAGTTTAAACAATTGGTTAGCTAGATGCACACATGCCAGCTTCCCTTTGAGCCTTACAGGGGGCCAATCATAGTTCAAAACATAACACTGTTTTTTTAAGATGTGAAGCTAAAAGCGCCCTACTAGTGCATGACTTATGCCACTTTTATTTCTTATTTTACGATGTGAGCCAGTGTTCATTAGAGCCATGTTCACTGAGTCGCTGATTCATCACAGTGTTGCTATGCCTTGAACTGAGTGATGAATCAATTTCAAGGTTTCTGGCAAACTAAAAAAGCAGCTTTCTTTGATCCAGCCCAGTCGTTTTTTCATCAAAGAATATTTCTTTCTTTCTTTTTCTGAGTCTCCATGATCCCACCGTGTCATCATCAATCCACAGTGGTGAAGGGCGATGTGCACGTTGGATATTTGCTGACACGTGTGATATCAGAGAGTCAGAAATTCAAACACAAGTAGCTGTATGAAACACACAACGTGCCTTCAGTCAAAGAACCGATGTAAAAAAACATCACACACTTTGAATAGCTTGTGCTGCATCAATTATGGAAACTAATAGAGCGCTTAAACCTGCGACAGCCTATCCACCTACGCAAACTTGTACATTTTATACCACACTGGCATGACAAAGATCAAAAAGCACTCCCACATTCAGTAGGGAGAACATGCTCTTGCATAGTGTAAGCGTGACCTTCTGCGGGTCTTGTGTTGCTATGATTAATGACATCAGAATGTAATTGAAGGATTGCTAACAGATGTGTGTATGCAAGCGGGGTAAAGTGTAAGTATACACAGAAGATGAAGTTGAACAAGTGTAATTTACTAGAAGGGGATTGAATTTCACTATATCTGACTTTGCGGTCAAATTTAAGAATATTGTTCAAATGCCAGTTTTTGGAAACTGTATAACCTACTTTCAGACAATGTTTCCAATTCTTTTCCTTCACACTACTCTTTAAAGCATTTGATCATCGTTTCATTTTACTTTTCATTTTCTAAATAAATTGCTTCCTTGGCATCAACTGTAAATTGATTGTTGATTTCATTTGATAAAGTCCTTTTTTTTTAACTCAAACACACACACCCTCACACACACTGTCACCTGTATCACCCCAGCCGGTAATGTGACAGTTGCTGGCTTGTTTGAGAACTCTCTCTTTCCTCATGGGCAGGCAGGCGGGAAGGACGTGACGGCTGAATGACACACACTCTCCTGGCGTCTGGCCTATTGCCCCCGGTGACAGGTGGACCAGCGCCAGGTCATAGTCGTTGCTGTGGGAGTGGTAGCTTGGATGGAAGACAATTTCCTCAACACCGAACTCTTCTTCGTACTCCTCAGGGACGAGGGAGTGGTAGTCGCCCACTCTTACTTTATACTGCTTGGTGCTGTTTCCATACCTGCAAAGGGAGGAATAAAGAGAAGTCTTAAGAAACTCAGGGTGTGTGTGTTTCATAAATCTCTCTATTCCTCAGGCACATGCAATACATGTACAAGTTGTAGGAATAAATACTGTAATCAGTAGTAAAACTAACTGTAGTATAAACATACACATTTCACTATAGCATGTTTAAATACTCCTTGAAGAATTTTCAAATATGCATCTGATGACAATTTCTCTTTGATTACTGAGATTACTTTTGGTAAGTGAGGATTTCACGAATCATACAATCCTTCCAAGGTTTGAACTCTATGAGACTGGAACCGAGAATGAGAAGAGACTGTAATGACAAAAATAAATGTGTCACTCTGTGTTGTTCAGTGTGACTCACAAGTTTATTATTAAGATAGCACAAGTGTTTTTTTTTCATGCTTTCCATGTACTGGCTGGACATGTCTGGTCTTCATGAAAGTAAGAGAGGTGGGGAGACGAGTGGGGTGAGTCGGGGACAAAGACTGACGCTAGAGAAAGATGAGGAGAGGGGTGAAAGAACCAGGCCTTTCGATCGCGCCAAGTCTCTGTGTCCAGTTACACATGGTAGAATGTTTCCGGAAAGATCTCTTGACTTGTGAATGCCGCTGCATTTCTGGCAGAGCAAAGACACTGCTGACCAGCCATTTAAGGGCACGCGATTTCACACACACACACACAACTTACAAAGTCGACAGTGGTTATGGAGTAATATAAGACAACTAGTCGTGATCTTGAGCTAAAGGAAAATCAGAATTGACATTTCCCATGTAGTTGAAAGAAGTTTAATTACTGCTGGCAAGCCCTACACTGAACAGTTACAAGGTATAAATAGCTTTAATGCGTTAACTGAAGGCGAGCAATGACATGAGGTCAAATTTTATTAACACACTAATGAGAGGGTAAGAAATAAGTAACACGATCTTGCTAGCAGTATCAGAGAGCTTGGGTGTGAATTTAAAAAGCATTAATGGACACAAGCACGTAATTGTATTTATGTTTGTTCTATACCTTGCAAATATTTGCAAAGCATTAAACATGCTGCTTTAATTGCACCTCTCATTTATTATAACTACCTATAAACAGGTCTTGAACATGTAAAAAATAGCAGGGGGAAAAAATCCTTTTACACATTCTACATACTACAAATATTTGTGCAGTGTGTAGTTTAAGTGTGTGTAGTGTAGTTCGCATTGGCTGTAAGTATGTATGTGAATAAATCCAGCAAAAACCTGAACCAGGACTTGAAAATGCATCTGATCCATCTGCTGTTCCCTCAAGCCTCTGCAGAAATGGCCTCCATGGAAGGATGGCTGTCAAAAAGCCATTGTTTATGAAGGGAAAGAAAATGCTGAGATATGCCAAATGACAAAAGACCTGGACTGAAAATCAGTGGCTGCAGGTCATAGTGAGTGATTAATTCTCCCCAAGGCGCCGACCACACCATTTCTGAAGCAGTGTGTGATCATCCTCACATAAAACAGAACAAAAGGCAGCCACCATCCAAAGGAGGGTTTTGGAATGCCCTCCATAAAGTCTGGAAAACTATTCCAGAGGACTTTTTACAGATATTACAAAAAAGGTTGTCTAAGAGGACTCAGGCTGTGTTGAAAATATTAATCTGGAATCTTGAGATGGTCATTTAATTATTTTTGTCATATATACTGTATATCATTGTACATCTTAATAAAAAATGCTGCCTCTTTTTTAAAAATAAGAGGTTGCTGTTTGTTTTCTTGTGTGTGTTGTAACTTTTAACTTTCTGTTTACCATGCATGAAAGGTGACACTGAATTTGGATGCCCCTGCTTTGGCCTGAGTTGCTCTCTCTTTTTCGCTGCAATACGCTCCTCAAAGAAATTGATTCTTTAATAGTAGGATTGGAGTCATTGTAATTCTGAATGGTGAACTTCTGTCTTAAACTCAATTGTGTGGAAGACAGAAATCATTTTTCCTTAAGAAAACTGTTTTGGCAACATCCAGCATTCCTTTATTGTTCAGCAATTTCACAGCACTTCTAGAAGCAAACATTCCCTCAGCATGATGCTTCGAAATCCATGCTTCGGTGTGGATGCCACGTTCAGGATAATTACACCAAAAGTGGAGTGCTAATTCGTGCCCAAATAGCTCAGTTTAATTATGTGTCCTCTGAAAAGAAGTAGTAACACTACAGTTTCAACCAAAGGAAGAGAATACATCTATCGCTCTGTCACTTACACTTTCTTTACATTTGTTACATGCTTCTCCATTTCAGAGTAACTTTCCTTGGATAAAACCTTTTTTTATCCAAGGAATCTTTTAAATTGTCCCTCATGCCAGTTTGTTGAAGGCAGTTGTGATTAAGACTGGCCTCTGCTGTTTTAAATTGCTCATATATGAATGGGATATAAATAAATATATTCTGTCTAATATGATTACAGACTGAAATCATTCATTGAAAATGGTCGCCCCCCAAGGGGTGCAGTATTAGTCCTTTGTGAAAATATTGCAGTGGTCTAGGCTGTAAGGAATTGCAGCTCTATTATCAAACTAAAAAGAATAGTAAAATAAGATGCATGGAAATCTTAAAAGTTCAGACTGTGGTTGGCGTTCCTCTGTACTCTGCTATGTTTACTAAATGCATTAAGTGACTAATGTCAAGTTGATGGTGCCAACACGGGCCCCAACACCAGATGATGTAAGTGATTTCTCCATATGAATTGTACTTTATCCACAGCCAAACTAATAGCAGTGAACATTTTCTTAAGGTCCCCATGCATCTGGTAGACCCAAACACATTGTTATAGTATTGAAGTTATGTAGTTGAGTTTAAGTTGAGTTCAGACTTCAAACAAAGGCATCAACTTTGAACTAAACACCATAAAGTCTGAAACAAAAGCCAGGAAAAATGTATGCAATAATAACATGAATAACATCACGACTCTGGCACAATATCAAATATGTATGTGTGTGTGTGTACTATATATTTAAATGTGTGTTTTGGACCTTTTGAAGCAGTGTGCAGAGGTGAGAACCCAACAGGTGTCAATGAGAGTTGCGCCACACACCAGCCTCCCGTCTCCTTTAGATCCACGCAAACGAATAGCTGCTTGCCATGGCCAGCCACCCCTATTGACATAAACACATAATTAATAAAACCAAAAAAATTATAAAGTGCACAGATCTCCTCAAATGCCCAAATTCCACAATACTACATTCAAGCATGAGTGAATTCAGCTCATTGGGCGATTGCATGTGGATTTGCTTAAACTGAAACATAAACAAATGGCGGTTATAACATTTTTTTTTTTTTTGGAGGGCAGTAAACAAAAATATGCCCTGCAGTATCAGTTTACATGAAGCGATGGAAAGTCTAAACACATAACTCTAAACATGCACACACTGGTCTCCTTCTGTCTCTCTTGAATCGTGCATTGAGCAGGGAGCAGATTCTCATTTGGATAACAGATTTGCTGCAGAAATCTTTCATCTTACGCTTGCTTTTCAATTAGTTTAGTGGTGCTGGTTTAGTTTTTCCATGATATTACGTAACCAGTGATTTTAAGGGGGTTGAAAACACATAATTTTCTCTTTAGGATTTGTAAAAAAAAAAACTGTGCAATGTACATTCCCCCAGAGAAGGATATCTGGTTCATTACAGTTAAAATTTACTGTCAAACCATTTACAGCAAAAACTGTAAAGATGTCTCTTCTGGCGTACTTGCTATCCTGCGAAGCATAAAACAAATTGTTCCATGAGCATATAGACCGGGGTTGCTGTTCTCACTGACCGTAAACTGACAGGAATTGAAAGTGACACGTATGTCTTAGGTCATAAAACGCATAAGATTGCCAGCAGTTTGCACTCTGTTTTTCAGTCTTTTCTTTTTTCCTTCAGGGCAACTAGGTTTGAAAGGTGATTTGAGATTTATTCGTGCTGGCCTCTGCTTCTCCCTCCACACTACAAGAGTTTTTACAGGAGCAGTCAGCGATCAATATATATACAGAACAATTCTAGTGGGCACTTTTGTCAGAGTGGCTGATCATCTCACAGTCAATGACAAGAGTAGCAATTTTTCTCTGGATAAACTCAAAGTCAAATTTAGATTCAAGAAACAACCACGTTGAATTTCAATTTGTTGCTTTCAAGGAGCTCTTTTCCGTCTCAAAACCGTTGATGTGAAATGTGGTTATTTTGTGACAGGCTGGGTCTTGACTTATTTCCCCTGTTCCCTCCGGCTAACCTCAGAGAGTTTTCTCCCCCAATGATTCGGCGCTGGCGAGTGTGTACGAGCCTCAGACCACAAATGGAGCTGACAGGATCTAACAGAGACAAAGGAGGAACAATTGGTAATGTATATGTGAGAGCTTGTGGAAGGGTGATGATGACTAAACCATACATTTCAGCTCAGATGTTGCACCTCTTAAATATTTAGACTAGTCAAAAACTTGTCTGAAACTGATATTTCACAACCACAGGTGAACCAGAAATGGTTGAAAAAGTAAATAAATCAAAGATCGGTTTCGGAGTCTGAGTGTTTGTGATGGTAAAGTGTGCTTGGGGAAAAGGCAAAATACACGTTTGCTCTGACTTTATTCTTAGAGCATGTTCATGTAAGAAATGGTGGCAGTTGCACATGTGGAGGTAATAGATAGCACTGTATGAGTCAGCCTGATGTGTGACAGACAGGTTGAAGCAATAACACTGTTCTCCCACTTCAACATCTGGTTTTATATACACAGTTGGTCCCATACTTTCTGCTAAACATCTTACCATTTCACTGGTCTCTCATAGAGCACACTTTGGCATGATCATTTCTGTGACGCTTCATTAAATCAAAGAAGCTCTACTCATTTTCAGGAGAACATTAAGTTCACACTGGTCCTGGCAATTTTAACTGACCTTTGACCTCTTTGTAGCTTTGCTGTGTTTCACCATAGTCACAGATGACCCCGGCGTCCTCACTGTGGCGGCAGTTGTGCGTGCCGGGCGTCTGTTTGACACAGTCTGCTAGCGACTGCTCCCCACCATTGCACTTCACATTGTCCACATGGATTGGACCTGTCCCTTCCCCAAAGTATGCCATCACACGGGCCTTAGCATTGCCACTGGGGAGGATAATGAAGCCATTTATTTTTTTCAGCTAGGGAAAAAACAACAAAACTGACACCAGAAAAATCTTTCAAAACAGATGTCAGAGGTATAGGAGCTGAAGAAGAGTCATCTTAGATATTGCAGTTTGACATTGTCAGGCAATGATGTCAACCAGGTCAAAAACCTTTACAATCTGATAACAGCTTAATCGCGTTCTCATCTCTGACATGAACTACCAGACATATCTCACAGACCGGCTTGTAGATTGTGGCTGCTTATGCACAGACTGTAACTTTAATCAAGATTGAGAGATAACTGAAGAAGGAGGTCTTATATTTCATCCCTTGTGTTTAGTAGGTGACAGGTCCTGTAACGCTAGTCATCTGTAGGGAATCGCATTTCTTTTACTAAGACATCTCGTGTCATATCTGTTTCTCCAATGGCTCCCAGAGCAATACTTTGCAAACAGAGGGTAGACTTAAAAGTCCTTTGGACATTTTACAAGTGTGTCGATATGTCCTAAAACAATTAACTTTTTTTTATGTACTGATGTACAATTGAAAATTTCAAGCAAAAGAAGCACATTTCTATCTAGCTAGCGTTTCAGCTTAAGGTGACTCTGGAACAAGCTTTTGGCTTTGGCCAAAGCTTGTTAGTATGTGTTTAAAGCAGCACATATCTTGCTTTATGACTATCAGAGAAACCTTTGTCCTTTTTCGGGGGAGGGGCTGATTTGTAATAAGACATCACCGCACCCTACATGACACAAAATGACTATTCTGAACATGGCTTTTACACACTTCTACGACTCTCCCTCAATTATGCACTCCAGATGTTGCTTTCATTTCATCTCCATCAAATCTGTCGCACAAAACTGGGTAGCCAAGGGACCCTATTCTGAGGGGTGATGAGACAGTATGTTTTGATAAAGCACTGCCTAGCCATCATTGAAAAAGTCTCTCAGAAGGAAAAGATAATGAGAAACATGTTGTTTAATTCACCTTGACTTATCTGTCATAGAATAGGTATCCTTTCCACTCTAACCAGTTATTTAGCTGGATGTTTATTTTGGCTCTGTATAGGGGCACAGATAAATGAGCAGCAAAGCAGTGTGCTGACGAGTGTTTAAATCTTTAGTGAACAAAAAAAGGAGGAAAACGAGACAGGTAGCGCAATCAGATTAATTCGAAATGTTAAAATTTTGGTTCAGCCAGAAAACTCAATATGTGTGACTAGAGTCGAAAGTGGAAACAGAGAGATTTACAGATGAGAGACAGACAGAGAAGTGGGGGGTTCAGCACAAGACAAATGCCAAGTCTAAAAGGTGGTGATGGATTTTGCAAACACAGTAGGCAGAGTCTGGATTCACTTAGGTGGGTCTAATGTATAGAGAGATCCTATTTCAGAGCCACAATTCAGAACAAAAGCAAAGATTTTTCTCCACCAGAAAATCTCCTTTTTTCAGCACGCCGAATAAAACTCAAAATGAAGCAAAGTTGAAAGAAACAGCTTGAACAGATCAGAAACAGGGCTTTAAGACACACACTGCCATTTATGTGATGCATAGATTCAGTGTGAACTTCATACTTTAGCAAAGAAGTACGTTGTAGCAAGATATGAATATTTAAATGATACAAATTGTGGACATGAAGTATTGATCAATCACCTGGTGCAATTCAATTGCCTTTAAAATATACTTTTTCTTTTACAATGGCTCAGAAATGTCTTTTGAACTCGTTGAAGTGTGTGATGCTCCACCAAAACCACCATTTGGCCTGAATGATTCTAGAGTCTTTGTACTATGGCTGCTTTTAGGATGCTGCTTTTAAGCAGGGGGTGTGCAGCCATCAGTCACAATTAATAACATCTCCTTCACCCTCTCACATCCTCTTCTGCATGTCTGTGCTTCCATTACTACTGTAAAAAAAAGGGCCGCCTTTTTGGCACTTTACTACAACGTTTTATGGATGTGTCTGTGATGGTGAATGGGTTTCTTTGTACTTTCCAATGTAATCTGTTTTCCACATTCTCTCAAGGCCATTTTCATGCAGGTGTTAAGGGGTAAAAAATAAATGAATAAGGCATCCAAGACTGCTCCTCTTCCTTCCTGATAATTCACACAGCACTGCATTCGTAAATACTACACAAAGCATCAGTTTGTCCAGGACAAACAGATGTTGCTCTGCCTCAGTCTCACTTGTGGGATCATCAAGGAGGAGCACATTTTGAATCTATTATTTGCAATATGCAAAAAAAGGTATCTACTATGTATGTTTTCAAGCAAAAGGCTTGCACATATCACCAAACTGTGGCTTAGCTGTAAACATATTATTCAAATTGACTGTGTGGAATAAACAACTTCAAATGGCAAGTTAATCTTTTGTTGCACTCCAGGGGGGTATTTTAAGCCCATTATCCTGGCTACCAAAGACGCTGTAACCATTTATATGCATGTGCACACGTAAATACCTGTAGCCCAGCTGCCGGCACACCACTTCAGCGTCATGATCAGTCCATCCATCATCACAGACAGTCCCCCACTGACCAGACAGGTAGAGCTCAACACGACCTTCCCTGGGGCTTTCTCCTCCCACAAGCCTCACCGGCATACCTACGGAAAACACACACACACAGACACACAGACAGACTCTTTAACACAATTTAGTTGGATCTTAATATCCAGCAAGTCATTTCAAGGAACTTTTCATAGCAAAGCAAACATTGCAAAAATACAGTTAACAATCCTCTTGGGAGTTAGGGGGGGGGTTCAATAACAGGAAAAGCCAGGACCTGATTCATGGTGGGCTGCCATCTGCCTCGCTTTAAAGTGACAATGTAAAGATATACTTTTTAAGTAAAAAGGTAATTTATGTTCACATAGAATACTAAAAGGCCATCGTTTAGAAATGCTTCAAAGTAAATACACACAGATTCCTAACTAACCTCATCCCCTGGGCTTGAATGGGGGCATGAGCGCACATGTTTTCTAGAAAGGAAGCCCATGCATTTTTTCTTCTTTTTTTATAAATTGAATGAGGGTGTGTGTGTGTGAGAGAGTGTGTGCTCAAAGTGGCACAAACTCGAATCTCTTCAGCTCCGTTCACTCACGGATTTATTTTCAATTCCTCTGTCTTTCACCCACAGCCTCTTTCTTTCTTTCATTTGTTCCTCACACACACACATGCCAAATACACAAAGGGAAATCCTGTGTCAGATTCTAGCATTTAGTCAGTACTTGTATGTTGGACATAAGCAATGTAGGGGGTTGAGATTAAGGTGGAGGAGTTGTCATCTTGATAAGAAACGAAAACACAATTTCTCTATTAGCTATCACACTCCTTCTAATTAAAATGACTGCGCTATTTTTTATGTCTAAATGTGCCCAAGACCTTTTTTAATTTAATTTGTAAATTATTTCTGGCCTTTCAAAGTCTTATTGTGCTAAATGTACACATAAAGTTTGGTTCGGTGCAAACAGTACCAGTGTCTGCCAGACGTATAAATTCAAAAGGTTAATTAGGAAAAATATCTGTTTTCTTTTCTTTCTTTTTTAAAAAAAAGAAACATGGATTGTGTCAGGAAATGATTGAACTCCATTCAAATGTTGTTGCTCTGTGAAGGTCCTTCCATCAGTTGGAGCTGCAGAAAAGAATGCTTGCACAGAAAGGAATAAGTTAGCAAAGAAGTAAAACTGACCCAAGCAATGAAAGGACAATGGGTTGAAAGAATGGATGAGAGAACGTGTGCATCTGTAGCACATAGGAGGCCCCAAAAATTGAAACATACTGAGGATTAAATGTTGTTCCTCACATGAAAGTTGCTCTAGTGAGAGTCATCGTTAATTTCAATGTAACGATGATGGCTACCAAAAGATCCCATACATTCACACGTACGCATCAAGAACTAATCGTGTTAATGGTCTTGCAAACCTAAATGTGAAAACAAATTAAAGAAAAGGCAGATAGAGGGTATAAGACAATTGTTTGCTTTGAAAAGGGATATCAAAACCAGAGCGAAGTCTGCCTCTGTGACACTGAACAGGCTTATCAGAGTGGTAAACAGGACATTCAACATCAAGACAGATAATATAGTTAGAAATCTGAGCCACTACTCTACCTCATCCATCTTCAGCCTTACTACATCTTTATTGGTGTCTGGAGGCTGTTGACGATGACATGAGTAATGATGCTACCATCCGGCAATTCCCCAAGCATTCAGCAAGTTCTAACAATGCTATATGTGAATGATCCTTAAAGAGGTGCAGTAGTTCCGCCAGGAATGGTGTTATGTTATGTGGCACTATGACAATATCTACCCAGTGGTGCCTTATATATTTTTACCACAAAAACTTAGGTTGAGGTATCCAGCAAGTTTATTAAAATGCAATGCCTATGTAAGCTGACTACTTATTGGAACTGGACAGTGTAACTGAATGCAGTGCCTGTTATAGGACGCAGGATTCCATAATGGCTCTTGCTGGAAGTTGGCTTACCTCTTCTCAGATGAGACGTAATCGACTACAGATTCAGTCTGGCAGAGATCTAAGAAACAGATTTGAGATCAGCTTGCTTTTCCATTAGCTGTTTTAAGTGGTAAGGGGAAATTACATAGACTCTTTCATCATTTCATTTCCTGCTTGACACTGCTGGCAAAGTACAGATGAATGCCTGAATTTATGCTGCAAACAGAAATAGAAATCCTCTGTTATTCTTAACAGATCTCTATAGATTATTAAAAATCTCTTATTATATTATATACACCATCTATATATAGTTTTTTTTGTGAAAAAGAGTTTACATATGATGATATATTACGATATTTGAACAACTTAAACTGCCTATCAGTCTGGAGTTAATAGTCAGACTGGAATCCTTATAATTTATAGTCACTAAATAAACTAAGGGGCTTCGACAGAGAGATGCCGAGCAAAATGACAGGACAGAAAGTCAGCTAGGTCTTAAAGTGACCTCATATGAACAATAAAAATGAGTCAACTCCTCATTAAAGGTGCACCATAAATTCCAGAGTAGGGATGTTAAAGTACTGGCTTTATGTTCTCTTGTACCAGACCATAAAACAACTTTGGATCCAGGATCCTACAATAATAACCAGTGAAGATTTGGATTGAAGTGAACTGAATCGATGCAGGTGACAGATGTGTAAAAAGAAGACTTTGATATGGGAAATCTGCATGAGTGAAGGAACAAGGGAGAAGTCTCAGATGTATCATTTTTCGCAAAGTGTTTTTGAACAATCTTTGTGGCCATTTACATGTAGACCTGTGTGTCTACATTGTTTCCTTGATGCCATCTGAACACCACAGATGGTATTATTCAAACTCATGGAGACTCAAATGTCTTTTGTACTTGTTAGAGCTTAACTTTGACCCTAAATTATTTAATCGTTACTTTCAATTGAAATGAGTGCACATGACAGTGGTACAATCTACCCCATGCTTAAACCACATTAATAGTAAGAACAGATATGATATAACATATCTAAAGTCTTTGGCAATATATCCTTTTTTCTTTCAACACTTTTGAACTCAAGCAAGATATAATTACTCGTGGGCAATCATGTTACTCAACTTCACGTTGTCCTTTGAACCATGATTCTTCCCGACACAGTTATTTTACTTAATTAACTGAATACCCTCTGGAGTTCATTAAGTAACTACAAGGCAATCAAAACAACAATCAGGGCAATCGGAAAAATCAGAACAGCCTGAGAAAGTTAGTTTACAAGTTAAATTCACTGCCAACACTGAGCCAAATTTGTTCCCTTTTAACTCTCTACATGACTCTTAAACGCAAGGAATGTGCAGTAAGGTAGGAGAAATATACACACTGGCACGACTTCACAAGGATATTAATGCAGCGACAGGTATAGACAGTAGTGCCTCCTATCAGATGTTTCTTGTAAAAAACAAATAAAAAAGTCAGTATCCAGCCCAACTGCATTTAGAATATTAGTTAATATTAACTTCAATTCCCTAATGCAAGGGCAAATATTCACAAATATTAGCCCCAACTGCATTTGCTTTATATATGCAAAAAAACAACAACAAATAAACAGAGAACATCCCAAAAATCCATGGACTTATAGATGGATTTCATTTGGGTTTTTGGGCTTAGTACAACAATTTCTGACAATGACAAACACAGCCATTGATAGAGCCAATTTTGAACTCTTCATAAAGGTGTTATACATTAACATTAATATTTGCTTTCAAATAAGACAAGATGCCATCTTACTGGTAGGAAGAATGCCTCCACTGCGGTCAGGGTGGCACACAACGTTGACATCTTCACTGTGTGTGCAGTCATGGCGGAGCCATTCCCTCCTGTTGCACAACAAAAGGCTGGGTTCTTTTCCTGTGCAGCTCACATCATCCACAAGAATAGGACCTGACCCCATCCCAAAGCGGGACACTGGACTGTTGTCTGGACCGTCAGAAAGGACAGTTGCTCCTCCTCTGCGAGACATTTATGTACCCAGACATTCACAATCAAGGTCTGATTATTTGAATTGTCTGAATAGTTATACATGGGAATGCATGTGGACATGCATGACTGAGCAGGAGTACTCCCCAGTACCTGTAACCAAGCTGTCGACACACCACTTGCGTGTTGGAGTCTGTCCAGCCGTCGTCACACACTGTCCCCCACTGACCCCTGTAGAAGATTTCTACACGTCCTTCATGACCTGCAGCACCCCCAATTAACCTGATGGTACCGTCTGCAGGGAATAAGACAGAATGCAAAAAAGAGAGAAAATAAGGGCTCCTATCAGGATCCTTAAAATAATTGTTTCTACTTTTTAATGGACTGGGAGGCTCGCAGGTATGAAGCTCTGTTGACTAATCAGTAAGCTGCTCCTGAGTATTATAAAAGCACATCAGCAAATCGTCACTTGCTCAACATTTCTGAAAACAACAGGTGCATAAAAAAGAAAAATATGAAACACAAAAAACAGATAGAAAAACACAAAAACAAACTAGTTTCAAATAATGTCACAGCACAATTGTAATAACCCATTCAAATAAACAATCCAAATCAGTCTTTTTATGTAATGTACTGTTTACTAAATGTTTTTTTTTTCTTACTGCATAACTGTTGGTTTACTTGTTTTCCATTTTCACCTCTCTAAAACTATGCTCTAAGTTGAACGGTGGTAAAGCTTTTCAGCCAGATGACTCTCCTAATCCTAATAAAATAAAGATTTTTTTACTTGCATTATTCTCTTTTTTCCATCTTGTCATAACTTTCTGAAAACTGACTTCCTGACCTGTAAGGGCAGGAATACAAAAGATTCATAACGTGAGCATCAAGGCAATCAATGCAATTAAAAAATGATAATCCTTTAAGATTTGATTTAGACATTTATGAAGAAATTGCTCATACCAACTTCATTTCATTCATTCTTGTGGTAGCACATACAGAACATCAGAAAGATTGAAATCTCTTTCATTTTATCTGTTCCCCTTTTGTCTGACAAGTCAACATACCAGAACGTACCAACAAACTAATCCATCATCCTCAAGAACATTTCTGGGTGATGGGTCTTTGCTGCATGAATTCTTGATGTAAGTTAAAATGTCTGAGTGCATACCACCTTAAACACTATGGCACATACGTGAGGAATGCTGGCCTACCTGTAAGACGGCTGCAGGAAACTCCTGCATCCTCAGTATGGAGACAGTTATGCTCCCCCCAGGCGCTTTTGGGACACTGGTCCAGAGTGAGCTCGTTGCCTGTGCACCGCACCTCGTCGAGCCACACGTGGCCTGAGCTCTTGCCAAAATGTGCCTGGCCCCACGCTCTAGCAACACCACTGAAAAAGGAAGAAAAATAGTCCACAAAACAGTACACAGAATAATATAAGGTTTGCTTTTTGCTCGCACTAATGCAGTGGAAAACAGATGTGATGACTGTTAGCTCACTACAAAGAACAGAGTATAGCATTCTGCATTTGTCTGTTGCGGATCATTTGTAATTGGCATGTTGCATTTCACATTTACAGCTGAGAAACCTGCTTTTTCTGCTCGATCGAGCAAACATGCCGACACTTTTCCAGAGAATGTGTTTAGTGTTGCTAAATATGCATATCACTGTGGTGTTAGAATTCATGCAAGAACAATGAGTCTGATTCACTATTTGACCCCCCAGATGTTCTCTACTGCTCACTCTTCCATCTGTGTGTCTGAATGGAAAGAATACTTGTCATACTTTAAGAGACAGAGGGAGAAAAAGATGGCTTGACACCCACATTATCTTAGCCTCATTATTTTCTAGGTCATGCTCATTCCCCAGTTTTTCATTCTGAAAGTATATTTAATTTCTTCTAATTCCGTTTTATCAGCAATATGAAGATTAAGAATATTATATCTTCATGAGTGTGGTATATCTTTTTTTACCTCAGCCCTAGCTGTCGACATACCACCTCCGCATCACTGTCGTCCCATTGGTCATCACAAATGGAACCCCACTGCCCTGCATGGAAAACTTCAACTGTGCCTTCAGACTCCGAGCGACCTCCCACCAGCCGAATAGGAAGCGTCATGGCCGCTGCAGTGAATGCTTTGTTTTTTCATTTTGATCGAGATATCGTGAACATTTCTTTAATGCTGTTAAACTGAGGAAAGTAAGTAGACTTGTCTTATTTCTTACACTTGTGCTAATCTCATACCATCAACTCAGATAATTCCCGTATTGGCTGGTTTACCTTGCTGTTGTGTGCAGGTGACAGCTGCAGCCACAGAACACGTATTTCCATTAGAAGTCGTTTTACGACAATGGAGCAGATCTGGCTCTTCTCCCTGGCAATGGACCTCCATCCAATGGAGCTTGGCCATGCCCGGGTGAAATACAGGAACTGCCCGGGCATGACCTGACATACTAAAAGCAGATCAAAAAGAACATCAGCTACTTATAGAATTGAAAACTAATTTCAGTTTATAACTGCCCTCAAGATTTTAAAAGGAAGAACACATATATGCAAACGTATATAAACTTTCAATAATCAACCATGTGAAAGTCATCAGTGAGGATTCCAACTGACATACGGCTGACCATATGCCAAGTCTCCCTTTTCTCTGAGGACTTTTGCTGACTCCTGTGTGGATGTGCATGGCAGGATTTGAGTGTAAACAGGTGTGTGTTCAGGACATAAGGTGGGCCAGCACATGCGTTGGTGACGTGTGTATTAAGTGCAAACAGTCCCTCTTTTCTCTGGGGAAGACAGAGCTTGGTCTTAACCGACTACACCCGGCTTATGAACACTGTTGACACGTATGATCTGTCTACAGGCTCCCTTGAGAGAGCTTTCACCGTGACTACATGCCACAGTCGAGAAAAAAAGAAACCCATTTGCGCACACTTGTGTGAAACAGAGACCAAGTGGGGGAAAGACGGAGCAAGTATCTATGTAAATAGCTTAGCTTTAGCGGCATTTAAATACCTCGAGGGATTGTTTTGGAATGCAAGGGTCATGAAGGAAAAGTTCAAAGACTTTACAGAGAAAGGAGAACGCCTAGAGTACGGCGTGTGTCTGAAGTGGCGTACATTTCCCTGTAATCAGCAACTCTTTTATTCGTCAGACCTCTGTAAACAGCCCCAGCAAGTGAAATCCTGTGGCAGATGGCGACTGCCCTTGCACCTGTGTCTGCAAACGTATGTGAAGAGGAGGAGGCCAGGGCAGAGTGGGGAAATAGTGCACATGTGTAGGCATGTGTGCTTCTCATTCACCCGTTGCCCAGCTGTCTGCACACCACCGCGGCGTCTCCGTCCCCCCAGTCATGGCCGCACACAGATCTCCAAACTCCTCCCAGGTACACCTCCACCCTGCCGTCCAGCTTGGAGCGGCCTCCCTGCAGGCGCACTGAGCCTGGAGACAATTAGAATGAGAAAAAGATGTGTGCGGAGATGCTTACAGCTGGATGTACACCACCCCCCAAAAAAAGAATTGAGATTTTAAAAAAGAAAAGTAAAAATTTTCCAAGTTAAAAAAGAAATTTGGGAGGACAGACTGGTTTTAATGTTGAGGCAAGCTACACATCACTGTCCAAAATGATGACCACAGAACAAACCAAGTTTTGTTTATGTATTTTCAGTTCATCACAATTACCATAAATTTGAATAAATCACAACATAACTGTTCTATTACAAGAAATGAAGTTGGAACAAGAAGAAAGTAGCATAAGTATAAGCATAAGAGTGTAAAATTAATATAATCTATATAGAATTTTTCCAAAGAGCATGATAAATCTTTTTTGGGGGAACCTTCTCCACAGCCATACATGTCTACTCTACAGCTGTGTTAGATTCTCTGACTGAGCAACTGTGATAGTGCATACTCTTTAAACACAGTAGATGCTGTTTATGCTGCCATGGTATATAAGGAGTGGGGTGGGCAGGCAACTGAGAATGCCGGAGTGCATGCTCATGCTGTCACGCACACACCCATAAATAGTTTTATGCGCAGGTGGATGTCTGTCACACACTATCCGTATCTGAGCGCGCATTAGAGAGCCCCCACTCAGCCTGCCCTCTTTCTGTAAAAGCCCAAGCACAAAAAATGACTCACTCAAATATAACCGGGAATAAATCATCCAACGTGTGTTGAGACTAAAAATACGAGAGGATGCAATCTTTTTGGCAGATGCTATCATTATTTTCATCACTCTCCTGAAGTCGATCATCCAGAGATGCAAATCTAACTGTGCGTCCGGTTTGAATGAAATGGCATCAGCTGACTCTTTTTTTTGCAGCCCAAACGTGTGTTTTACCCCTAACACCTGTGCAGGTAGTTATTGCACACTTTCTTATTTGCCCTCACATTGAGTCTGACTTTTGGGAAACATAGTGTGTCACTCGGAAGTTGAGAGCCCCTGAAAAAACATCTGCATGCTCTTATGAGCTCCTCATCAGCCCAAATCAATAACAAAACAATAACACCGAGACCGTTGTCTTTTGCAGATGCATTCTATTTTTAATGAGACCTCCGTTTGTTTGGGAATTTGAGCTTCTACTAGTCACTCTATAGTATTTTTTGACATTCTCCATTTATGTTTCCTCCAAAGGCATAGTGGCAGGCCTGCATGTTTACCTTGTTTACAGTCGCAATACCCCCAGTCTATTCTGCCTTTGTGGTTCCTGAAAAAGCACCAGGGTCGGATCCTGGCGTCGGGATTGCGGCAGTGATTGTGATCCCCTATCCCTTTGCCCGGATGGCGCTCCTTGAATCCGGCCACATCGGTCCAGTTCATGCACCGGGTGCCGGACTCGGTGACGTCTACGGCTCCCCCGTAGAAGCCGTCTCTCCCACGGCTTCGGATGCAGTCGGTGAAGGGCGTCAGGACCGAAGGGACGCTGCTGGAAGAACAGCCGCTCGCAAGCACAAGTGCAGCCAAAGAGGCAAGAAATGCCCCGCTCATGTCGGATGGCGGCTGCGAGCAGCTGATGTCGGTGAAAAGCAATTAGGTTAAAGGCGGATTGCAGTCATCTAGGCAGCCTCATCGCTTGGCCGGTGGACGGGAATGAAATGGAAAAAGGACGCGGATCAATGGGGCTCTGCGTGCGTGGGCTGATGGGCAGGCGGCTCTCCTAAAATTCACTTACATTTATGTATGAATGTCTCAGCCAAACTGCACTCATAGAGTGACCACACTCTTAAACAGACATGCAACTCAGCGCCCACTGTTTTTGAGTTCTTTAATATTTTGATGCAGATAAGGACATCTTTACTTCTATTTTTGTTTGTTTCAAGCCAATGTTCTTACTTGCTCATGGTGTTATATATATAATGCACAATCTGAACGAGCGCTCATGATATCATACATAGTGGATTCAAAAGTTTGGGCCCTGGCACCAATGGGTTCATCACTCAATTATCCACATAATTAGACAAAAAAGAAAAGAAAAGGAAAACACGAGGATAATTTCAAAAGTTAGTTTAGCCATGTCACAAAGTATAGGCTACATTAATGTGCATCCATGCATGTATTCAGTAGCTTTAATCACACAAATGCAAATTGCGATGCAGTTGTGGGCCAGTTTTGCTCAATATCTGTATGGATAAGTGGGTTAAAAGCAGAATTTTTTTCAACAGATTTGGAGACATGTCCATGTTTGTGATCCATCTTCCGGATCTGTGTTATTTGGGAACAAGAAAAACATGGTTTTGCTCAATTTCCGCGCAAATTCAGTTTAAGCCTGCAGTTTTACTAGGACATGCATCTGAGGCTGTTTTGGCATACTATTTTGATATCAACACATCCATAGTTCTGTGTTAATGACGCACAAATGATTTTCATTGTGTCTGTCAATGTGTTTGACTGTATGAAGAGTCAAAAACCAAGACACAGCGACCTCAAGTGTCTTACAGAATGTGCGCTCCAGTACTTGGTATGAATTTATTAATATTTGCATATATGAGAAAGTGTGTCAAATGGGAGATGCTCTGCAGCTTTGACGTGTGCAAAAGAGTTTTCTATTTGTGGGAAATGTTTGTTGATCTCTGTGGTTTTCTCATTTGGAACGCTTCATGGAGGAATGGAAAAAATGTATTGGATCAGGTAGGATGCAGACCATATGGTTAAATTGTGGGATGTCTAATAAAAAACATGATTAACAAAGTCAATAAGTGTTCAAGATTTTAGTAAACAACGTCGCTGACATAAATCGGTGGTGTAGCTATTTAGATATTCATTTTTTCCTTTTGGTTTTCTTTTCTTTTTTTTTTTTTTGCATTATTCACATTCATTTTGAAGCCAAACGACATTAAAAATACGACGGGGACCGGAATATATACACTTTGACAATCACCAGGGAATGTTAAATCACGACACTGCTGTGCATGTTTGAATTATATTTATGTGCTACACTTGGAACATCAAAATTCTGTTTTTATTGCTTCAAGTCGATTCAGGTGCAAATATAAAATGTTCATTTTCCTAAGTAGCGATCGTTTGGTTTTCAGTACTTTACATTCGTAACTATAAAATTTGGCCAATGAGGCGAAAAACAAACACACACATACGTCATACAGAAGCGTCGCGACTGATGACATCATCATCAGGCTGCCACTCTATTCACATTGTAATTCGTGGAATGAAGCTGGCGTACACCGCTAGTCATCCAGTTGTGCGGAGTTATTGTGCATTCACCTTTTCCCCTTTGTTTCATTTTTTTGTTTCTTCGTATTACTATTACCCTACTCACTTAAATCAGTAAAATTAATCGTGGATGTTAAAGCTCCGTTCCAAATTACTTCTGCGAAAATGCATGTGCTCGAGACAAATACACGTCCAGATCCCAGCTGTAACGATACATAAAAAGAGCGCACCTATTGTGATTTTTAGCGGCTCTATTGATTTAGCCGGCGGTAGCAGCTGCCTGGCGCTAAAAAAGTCTGTTAGAATCTTTGTGTGGCGACAGTTCCGTTAACTGAATCATTTAGAAATTCCCATCCCGTTAGAAAAAATGAACAGCAGGCTGCAAGAAATTCGGGAGAGACAAAAACTTAGGAGACAATTATTAGCTCAACAGGCAAGTACACAGTCAATCCTAAATTGTTAGCATGATGCTATGTATAGATTTAATCGGTCAGTCAGTGTAGTTATGTTCATAAATGTGCCACGTGCAGGGAGATTAAATGTTTTTGTTGCATGGAAATTACCTTTAAGGTAACCGCAGAATTTTAATGGATCAACTCAACTCATCTAGCGAACATTTGCACTCGATTGGCTTCTAAGACTAGTGGGCTCACTCCATATGCAAATAAGTTCCTGAAAATAAAACAGTCTTACAAAATGATGAGAGAAATAACATATATTGCAATGTGATTTGAATGTGAGCAAATATTTGCTCATTGTATGCATGCACCTTTATTTATCTGACCTCAGCTGGGAGCTGAGAGCGCAGACAGCATCGGGGCTGTTCTTCACAGTAAAGACGAACTAAAAGAGATCGAAGAGACCAGAGAAACATGCAGGTAAGATGAATGGAAAGAAGTACACGTTGGTTTTTAATGCAATTTAGAAAAGTTGGTGCAATCATTACATCTGATGCTATTTAAGTCGTGATTAGCGCTATCTAGTCGTGATTGGTGGAGAGTGCAGATTTTTGTGTTGCACTGTGAATACAAAGATCCGTATCAGTGAAAGATATTTGGGTTTTGCAGAGCTTCGTTCGACAGCACAGCCCCCCCTTCTAAAAAGAAGCCGCAAACAGAAGGAGAGGACACAGAGGAAGATGTGGAAGAACAAAAAGTGAGTCTGAGCATTTCCAGTTGTGTGGATATGATCAGTTTATTCACCATGAAGACAGCTCTGCTCATCCTCTGAGAACTAGATCTCCCATTATAATGAATTTCTTGTCCTACAGGGACACTGTCTCGCTTCACATCATTACGGAATGGTTATTAACCTCTTGCTCTGCTGTTTGGCTGGCCATTCTTTTTTTTAATCAGCATTAATAATACACATAACTAATACTTGTATAACTAGATTCAAAGACTGTCCAGAGGCCAAACTGAGGAACTGGCATCTTATCTTGGTTGCGCCGTATAAGTGAGTTAACATTGGATATTAAGATTTCAAGATCAAGATAACTTGATGACTTAGTGAGTTTAAGTTGAGTAGTAACTCAAATTTAGTTGCAATCCAAAAAGCTATTCAACATTTTTTTGAACATGAAAAGTTATTCGTTTTAATTTTGTAAAAAATGTAACCTTCATTTTTAATAGGTAGGGCCATATAAACTGCCAGTTTATAAAATGTGCTCTTAGATTTAGTGACTCATGCGTGTGTCACCTGTTTGTACAGAGCGGGTATTCAAGTATTGTGCTTTTTCAAGCTTACACGTTTGGCAGCTGGGCGTGGTGGTGTTTCAAACAGTCTCATTAGAGAAGAAAAGAAAAGACGTACATGCTTAGCTATTCTTTGTGCGGTGCCTGAAGGCTTTTTTGAAAAGTCCCAAGGTATGTAGATAGGTGTTTTCGATGTCACAATGTAGTTTAGGCTCAGGATGCCAGTATTTATTTAGTAACCTAATCACACTAGGTTCCAGAAAACAAAACACTTCCTTCTAATAACCACTGAAACCCCCCCCCCCCCAAAAAAAACAAAAACAATATTATATTCAGTTTGAGTGGAGTTGTGAAGCAACATGTTGAAAATGAGTTGAAATTAACATGCCATTGTTTTCATTTTCCTACTTAATATTTTGTAATCTTTTATTTAGTTACTTTTATATATATGCATAAACTACCATAAACAAACTGTCTTTGTATGACTGGTACAGAATCAAAATGTGTCTGTTTTTTTGTTTTTACATATTTCATAAAATCATATGATCAATTGAGTTAAAAGTCCCTTTAGAGGCACAAATATACTTTTTTTTGTGCTTGTCTGTTTGTTTGTGTTAGGATGAAGTGGAAGTGCAGCAGCCAGATGAGAGCAACCCCTATGAGGAAGTGTATAAAGATTCCAGTACCTTCCTTAAGGTTTGAAAACGTTGTTTTCTACACAATGAGTCTTTATTTATCTTTTACTTTTCTTCTGTCATTTACTTGGAGTATACCAGTTATGCAATTCTGGACAGATATTGTTATTCAGGATGAAAAGACTATGCTGTTAAACAATTCATAACCCAACTTTTTAATATTGAGCAGTCTTTGCACAATATTAAAAATCCAATTAATTTTCACGGTGCTATTGTTTTGTTTATGGCCAAAAGTTTTTCGTTATTTTATTTGCCAATTTCCTTTTACATAACCTGCAGAGGATCTTTTGTCCTGTTAATGAGGAAATGCGTTACATGTGAACTGCCAAGAGCTCGTGATCCTGGCATTGTGTGGTCAGATGCAGGAAGTTCTGTCTCTGAAAGTTTTTTTCCTTATGTCCCATTCACTGAGCGTTGAATCGGCTCATGTGCCGATGAACAGACCTCAAAATTTGATTATCTCAGGTCATTTGCGTTGACTGATTAATGCACACAAAGTCAGTAAACAAAGATTCTGTCAGTGTCAGATGTACAAAATGTTCCAGATGTCTGAAGTGAGCACATGGATGCGTGCAGCGTAAAAACCCCTTACCAGACAGGAAAAACTCTTTAAAAAAAGGTCAAAATGAAAAGAGAAGCCTTGTCTTTGTCAGACATTCTTCTCATGAAGAGCTGAAGATGGTGTCTCAGTCGGTGTGATAAGCAGGTGTAATTTTAGCTAAACTGAATGTTGAAGGACAGGTTTTTCTTTGGCAGGTTAACTCCGTTTTCAAAAAAGTCTGGGCGTCGTCCCTGGAATGTCCCGAAAATGTCAGATGATTGTGCTGGCATTGTCATCCAAATGATAAGATGTAGCTTACAGTTTAATTGTCCCTGAGGCTGATAGTCACTTAAACACTAACTACTTATGTGATTATCTAAAAGTTGAGGTGTGTTAAGGCCACACATGGACTCTATAAGAGGCAGACCCTTAACATTGCAAATAATCTAAATTTAGTTTAAACTTTTTAGATATGATGGTGAATTATTTAGTGAAAACTTAGTTAAAAGGAAGTCAATATATTTTTAATCTGCAGCTATTCAACAGGAAAATGTTGAGCTAAATTAACTGTCTGACTGAACTAGAAATCGTTTTGATTTTATGAAGAGATGCACCATCACTGATGTGGCATCTTAACCTTTTATGCACATTCTCTCTGCATCTATATATAGTGCAAAGTAATGGTTTTAAGAGATGCAATCACAATTGTGTGGCTATTTATGTGCTTGTCTGTTTTTTTAAAATCAGCCTTTGTCCCTCTTTCCTGATCCTCTTTGATCCCCCTCAGGGTACTCAGAGTTTGAACCCTCATAATGACTACTGCCAGCACTTTGTGGACACGGGTCACAGGCCGCAGAACTTCATCAGAGATGTTGGTGAGTGTCTGCTTGCTTTTGTGAAGGTTATTAATCACGTGCACATACGTAAATTTGGCCTCTTACCTTCGTGTTTCAGGCTTGGCCGACCGATTTGAAGAATACCCCAAGCTCAGAGAGTTGATCAGACTAAAAGACGAGCTCATTTCAACCACCAACATCCCTCCCATGTATGTTTAAAGAGTACATGCATG